TAGGGAAAGGGAAAAGAAGGAGGGATGGAAGATAAAACGGGAGGAAAGAAGCAGGCCAAGGTAGTGGGCAGAATAGAAGAAAAGGAGAAGCTGTGGGGAAGAGGGAAGGAAGGAAAGAAAATGGGGAAAAACAGCTAAAGATAGTTCCAGGGGTTCTCGGAAGAGACTGATTTTATGGATTCATTTCAATCTGGCCTCTGTTAGCCAAATTGCTTTATTTACAGCAATTGGCAATTTATAAATGGGTCCTCGTCAACTATACCAAGGTCCTGTTCCCACCAAGGGTTACCAGAGAAGGATAACGAGGCTGTTGTTGTTAAAATAGATGTCTTTTACTTAAATAATAAATCTCATACAAACAATACTGATGCACTCACACATTCAATCAAGTTCCTCAGAATTACAGTATAAAAATAAGCACAGTTGCATTAGCAGGTGGGGGTGATGATGGGCAATACTTATCTGTCTTTGCAGCTTTGGTTGTTCCAATGAAGAATGGATGGGAAGAAATGTAAACTAGGGAATTCACACACGACCAGTACCAGCCAGAACGTGTGGGTCTCTTGACTGTAGATCAAGAGATCAAAGTAGAGGCAAGGGTTTGGGGATAGCAAGTGGGACTTAAGAGGAGTAAAAAGCAGACAGTGGCTGTTGCGGGGGAGATGCTAGTTGATCAAGTAGGAGAGAGAGAGACCATGTGATTGGTTCTCTTCTTTTATCGGGCGATCCAGGAGGTGGGTGGTGGCCGTGCCAACCTCCTGGCCCACCTACCTGTTAGTCCGTCCCAAAAACAATCCTATTGGTTGCATGGAGGGAGGGGTGGTTACCTAACAGGAGTGGCCAATATTGAAATCTAATACCTTACTCAAAGAAGGGCATCTGGGCAGGTGTGAAAACCTTGGCGTCAGGATGCTCCATTGTAGTGTAGATGAAGCTAGCCATTCTCATTGTGAATCAAATGTCCATTTGGCAGGAAATACCAATGCAGGAACAACGCAGTGATGGGTAGTACGTGACTATAACTATTTTTGCAATGGGGGCTGTCTCTGCTCAAGTTTTTGTTTCTTACTGCTCACAATAATGGAGGTGTGTGCTTCTTCACCAGGCTGGTAACTGTGTAGCTAGAACCTTATTTACACGTGTAAGGCTTGTGCAGGCACCTTCTATGTGTTGCATCACAACAGGTGACTTAAAGTGTGCAGTCTTCTGAGCCTATGTGTGTGTGTGCACAGTCCATTGTGTGTAGCAATAAATATAGTCCATAAAGTAAAATATTAAATTCATTCTCTAACACTTCAGGCTGGGATTTGGAACAGAGGCTGCTTTGGTTTCCTTGGTTGATGAGCTCTGCTGAGAACTACACAGGGCAAATGTGACTTGCCCATTCTGCTCAATCTTTCAGTGGCCTTTGACACTATCAACCATAGTATCCTATGCCTCTCAGCCCTGGAACTAAGGGGCACCATATTACAGTGGTTCGAGACAAATCGGGGCGGGGGTAGTCTCAGAAGATATTGTTGCGGGATTCCTGCACTGCCCCATGGCCATTAACCTGTTTGGTGCCGCAGGGTTCCATCTTATTCTCCCCATATGAGAGAATAATATCCATATGAAGCCTCTGGGAGAGGTCATCAGGAGGTATGGTATGTGGTGCCACTGGTGTGTGGATGATACCCAGCTCTACCTTTCTTTTCCACCTAATTCCAAGGAGGCTGTTAATGTTCTGAACCAGTTCTTGGAGTCAGTAGTAGGTTGGATGAAGGTGACCAAGCTGAAGCTTAATCCAAACAAGGCAGACATTTTCTGGGTTAGTAGAAAGGCAGACTAGGAACTTCAGATCTTTCCTGTCTTGGATGGGGTTATACTCCCCTTGAAAAGCCAGGTCACTGTTTGGGTGTGCTGCTTGACACAGTGGTCACCTTAGAAAGCCAGGAGGCTGCTATGACTTGGAGTATGTTTGCCCAGCTCCGGCTGGTGCATCAACTGCATCTGTTCCTGGTTCAGTCACATCTAGCCACAGTGATCCATGCCTTAGCTACATCTAGACTAGACTATTGTACTGCAGTTTACTTAAGGCTGTCCCTTGAAGAGTGTTCAGAAGCTGCAGCTAATGCAGAATGCTGCAGCTAGACTCTTGGTTGGGGCTAGCTATCAGGAGCATATATCCCCAATAATACAGTAATTACTCTGGCTACCGATCTGCTCCCAAGGTCAAATTCAAGGGGATGATTTTGTCCCTTAAAGGTTTATATGGCTTGAGACCAGGGTATCTGGAGGATCATCTTCTCCCATACATTCCTACCCAGTAATTAAGACCATAACTGCCCCACCATTAAGGACACCCATTTAGTACGTACACGAGAGAGCGCCTTCTCTGTTACAGCCCCACAATTATGGAACAGTCTCCCCAGGGAGGTTCACCTATCCCTCCATTGTTGATTTTCGGGAGGCAGTTGAAGACTAGTCTATTTAGAACTGCAATTTCATTGGTTTATTTTTTGTTATTGGCAGTCCTATTTGGAATTTTAAAACTCTTTTATTAGATATTTGTTATTTTTAATTGTGTTTTTATAATGTTTCATTTTTATTGTAAGCTGCCTTGAGTTCCTGAAGGGAGAAACACAGCTAACAAAAGTTTTAGATAAATGCAGAATACGGATGAAAACAAGATCGAGTCAAAATAATAAATGTTCCACTTAGAGTGGGTGTGGATCACTCCATACTGTTGATGAGTTGACAAAGTAGAATGAATCTAAAGATGTACATAAATCTGTGTGGAGGCACACTTTCTGTAGTGAACTAACCTTTCCCAGTCATTATGGAGTCCATCTCTGATGAATTCCTACTCTGCAGCTCTCTGGAAATTAGTTTTTTTACAATACTTAACCCAGAGGTTTTTTGCAATACTTAACCCAGAGTTTCTTAATTCTAGTTTTACCCTATATATGGAATTAGATTGAGAAAAGACGATATTTTGAGGCAAATAAAATCAATTGTACAAAGACTGTTTTCTGCTTTGTAAGCCTCGTTGTATTTATCTGTTGTTCTGTTTCCTTGTCTTAAGTGTTTAACACACTGGATCCAGATCCCTTATTGGAATCTTTTGTTATATTATTTTTGGTTTTTCCTTAGCTTCAAAAAAGGCGAAAAATGATGAAGTTTGTGATCTCCATATTTGTGCAGACCTGTCCTCTTTGCGTATATTTATACGAGAACAAAAACGCTGGATATCTGAAATTTGTGTTGAAGGTAAGAGTGAAGCTTGAAATAATATTGTTGACTGTTGAGATTTCAAGACCCGAGAGATTATGTCTTGAAGATTGAATCGTACTTGGTGTACTGATTGATATTGTTATGTTTAGGTCTTGAGAGCCAAATGATGATGAAGAAAGCAACAACTGAAATATCAGCCAAGTTAAAGAATATAACTATCATGGATCGTGATGAGGCAGCCCTGTATACAAAGGTATAATGAATGCTCATTTTTTAGTGTTCATGTCTGTTAGCTAGTAGAGCCAACTGTGTGCTAGGCTTTGTACAGAAAACTGATACTTACAATCTAAATAGAAGTTCTTTGCCTGATATAAATCATAATGTTTTGGGGTGGGCACAGACTGGGAAAGCCCAGTTCAGGGCCCCCTAGAGGTTCTCTTCCGGAGCTCCGTACCTGAGAGCTCCCCCTACAGAAAACTGATACTTACAATCTAAATAGAAGTTCTTTGCCTGATATAAATCATAATGTCTTGGGGTGGGCACAGACTGGGAAAGCCCAGTTCAGGGCTCGCAAGCTGGACAGCCCCGAATCGAACCCCTGAGCAAAAACCACCCAAACTGTTCAGGTGGAGGGCCCCGCCCACGTTGTGCCTGCATCATCCAGAAGTGATGCAAGCGTGTCGCCCCCCAATGCGCTTGTGTCACTTCCGGGTGGCACCCATGTCACTCGGAAGTGACGCAAGCATGTTGGGGAGCATGCTTGCATCACTTCTGGGTGAGCTGGAAGCAGGGGCCCAATGCCACCTGGAAGTGACGTAAGTACGTTGGGGGGCCAAACTTTTAACAGTGAACACTTTTTTCCAATTTCAAGGCTCTCTATATTACTGGAAAAGAAGTCTTCAGTTTCAGACTAGTGTCTTATGTGGATGCTACAGATGGTGTTGCTTACACCAATATGAATGCTGTTGACAGCCGGGTTTACTTAACAGTTGGCTGTATTCAAATTGTTTTTGTCAACAAATTTGTTTCTGCTGTTTTGGTAAGTTAAAACTTCATTTTCATGTTTTGTCTTAGCAAATGTTGAAAGCATATTCAAAGTGACTTACAAGTAAAACCATATCATACTGTTTTATAAGATTAGCAGGACAAGGCTCTGGAGAGGTTGCTCCAGTCTAAGCTGATATAAAGCAGTTGACTTAACTGGAGTAACTTTTCATAGGGTTGTACTGTAGAAAACACTTCAACTGGAATTGTGCATTTCCATTTCTGCAGCCCACATTCTAATGTTGAACTTGTTAATGAGCAGGTCAATTCATAATCCTAAAGTCTAGTCAGTGTTTTCTAAGATTGTGGTGATAGCTGCCATTTGTTGTGGTTTCTGACCAATCACTGGCTTATAGCATTATGTAAACAGGATTGGGGGTTGAAAATGATGGTTAAACTCTGTATACTTTGAGGTACATTGTTAGATCTGAGACTTTTTGCTGCATAATATTAAAGTCAAGATCATGATAGGTATGCTTTCCTGTTTGTTATGTGCTAATTAACTGTGTGGCCCAGAGGCGCTGCCTTACTCTAGGGTTGGCCCAACAGCATGGGCACCCCACTTTCTAACCTGAGCCAGAGAACCACAAACTCAGGCCAATGAAGACGACACTCCTTGTTCTGAAACACAGAGCAAGCCATTGCTCTGGAAAAAGGCTCTCCATTTTCAGGTGGCATAAGGCAGCCCTCAGAGCAAACCTCCAGTCTTATCCCCCCACCCAGCAAAAGTATGCATATGAAACAATGGTAGTTCGACCAGGTAAAGTATCTGCATTTCTAAAGCTATTCAGTTGCCACCTGGCACATAGCTCTTCTGTTTCCAACTCTGCATATAGTCCCTTTTGTGATTTCTACTCCTATGTGAAAAATCCTTGGTCTCAGTACTTATCCTTCATGCTCCATCCCTCGGGATACTGAGATAACTAATAAAACATTCAAATTATTACTGATCCTTCCTGGCACCTATTAGGAACCCATTTCCCAACTTTTGTCTAAATCTGGGAATCTATTCAGCGTGCCTTGGCTGGACCTTCAGTGGCCATCAAAACCCATTCAGCCAGCTCCAGTTGACCTGGCTAAGCCCATTATTGCTATTGTGAATCCAGACTCTGCCCCTCTGAACCCTCACTGGTCAGCTCTAGGCCTGCCCCATCTGGTGCCACACCTCCTGAGACCCCTAATTGGTCAAGGTAATCTTTTGTCTTCACCTTGGACAAGCCCCTCAAGGCCTCCCATTGGTCTGCATTGTTTTCCAATGTCTATATCCAGCAAGGCACATGGGTTCAGAGGGTGTGCCTTTGCCGTGATGCCAACTGGCAGTCCATCCCCAAACTTTTTTTTGGGTCACAATCCCATCTTAATGGACATCTGCACATTTGGACAGGTCGTATCACCCCGTAATTGACCCCTCTATTCGCTATCAATCACCTCTGCTTTCTTAGTTCTGTATTGCTTGCTCTTTTTGAATGCTTAGTGTGCTTGTAATTAGGGATCCACAACGGGCTTTACTGCTAGTTCTTTAATAAAATCTAATTTACTCTTCAAATTTGGAGTCTTCCTACTGTACTGACCTTGGTATACAATTGGTGGGCAATCCCTGTAACCCCTCTGGTCTCCCCTGGCGCATAGCTAATTTCCTCAAACAATGAGGCAGGCCATTGGCGGTAACAACTGATATTGAATCCACAAAATCATGCTGGATTACTCTTCATTTCAAGTTAAGCCATCATGGTGTTGTAAATTAAGCTACAGGGACAGGAAAGGGAAGAACTCTCAAAAATTAGAATTAGAAGTCAGTCGCCAATGCAAACATTTGATACTTCAATAAGTTATATAATGCTAGTTTGCTAATTTGTCTGATACAAGTTGCTGAATTAGATCAACCTTCTAAATGATGGGTGCTATGTGAAATTAATAAAACACCAATTTCTTTGGGTTCCAGCATCAGATTTTTAGGAATCTGAGCAACCTAATTGCATCCATCCTTCCTTAACACCTGTACTTTGTATGAATACTATTACTATTTCCCACCATATGAGGGAAAAGGCAGTCTTGATTCCTTTTTTCTAAATTGAACAATCAAATTTTGCATCTGGTGATTTACTTTCTAGAGTATCAAGAAAGCACTTTATGGCCCCGTTCACACGGAGCAGAAGCCACGCTAAATAGACGGAAGAGAGGCGGAGTTACCTGGCACGATCACACGGCAACATCTGGGGAGCGTAGAGCTCCCGTGGTTGAACTGTGGCGAACCGCCGATAAAACGGAGCAAAAAACTAGTACCTCGGAGGTACTAGTTTCCGGAAACTGCGGGGCAAGGGCGGGCGTCTGATCGCGTTTCCGGTGGCATCCGGCGCCCGTCCATGTCCCCTTGCGAAGAAGATTTTTTTTCCCCCAAGTCTCCGTGGTTGCGCATAAGCACTCAACGGAGCATGCGCATTCGTAGTGTACACAAAAAAAGAAACCCAGTTCGCCGCGCCGCGCGCTTCTTCGTTGCGCGCAGGCATGTGTTGTGATCGACGCCTCTCCGTAACCACGGAAGCTCCACGGTACCTCCACAGAACCTCCACATGAGGTATGATCACTTTACTGCGTGTTAGTTTGCCCCGGGGCAAACAGCCACACTTCTCCCCCGCAGTTTCCTGCGCGTGTGACCGGGGCCTGTGTCTACAAAGTGTCAACTTTTGTCTTTTCATTCCCATTTTTGTATGGCATTCCTTGATTTACTTTCTAGAGTATCAAGAAAGCACCTTGTGTCTACAAAGTGTCAACGTTTGTCTTTTCATTCCCCTTACAGTTAAAGGAATTGTTCTTCAAGACCACAGATGTGTATTTGTACCCATATGTGTACACTTCCTTTCCATTTCCCACTTCCCAAAACAATTTTGGCACTTGAGCGTATGTTTGTGAGGAAAACACACTGAAAATTGGGATGTACTAACTTGAACATTGATAAATAACGAAACTGACAGTATTGCTGAAGTGTTTCTATCTTTTCTAGGCTTTTGTAAACAATTTTCAAACGGCAAAGGAAGCAATTACTGAAGCCACTGTTCAGGCTGCAGAAAAAGCAGCTACTGGTGTGAAGGAACTGGCTCAACAGAGTTCACGAATGGCCCTGGATGTCAATATTAAAGCACCTGTTGTCATAATACCACAGTCAGCAGTATCTACAGATGTTCTTGTTGCTGATTTTGGTTTGATCACTATAAAAAATGAATTTTCACTTGTTAAAGCTAAAGGTCGATATAATCTTCCACCTGTTCTTGACTGCATTCATGTGAAACTGAGTGAACTGAAATTATACAGGTGATTTACTATGATTTGTAGTCAGTTATCCAGAATTGAATTGTCAAAATGAACAATGAATAAAAAGACTTAAGTATTGTTAGAATGTACTGTGTTCTACAAATAAACCAAACAGAAAGTTAGCATTTGCTCACAAATGTTACTGTTTAAAAAGTAAATCATTACTAGTTCCTTATTCTTTTATGTAATATCTCTTAACTCCAAATCTTTTTAGTATTATTCTGGAAACCCAACATACTTAAAAGTATTTTCTTTCTATTTTTTCATGAACTGCAATCCTAAGTGAACTGTGGCACTCTTATTAATAATTTTCATTTCTATTTACAGATCAAGCATTGTAAGAAACTTACTGCAAAAGGAAGTACAGCTGCTACAACCATTAAATCTTGAAGTAACTGTTGAACGCAATTTAGCTGCTATCTGGTATTATGAAATTCCTGATATTAAAATATTTGGACATCTCAAACCAATGAATGTAAGTTTTTAGTTTAGAAATCTATTTTGTGAGCATGATTATGATGAATTTCTCACCATACCTGGTTGCCTATGGAGCTGAGTAGACCACATGTTCAAATATAGGATCTCCCTGTTATGTTCATAGTGCCCCTCCAAGTGAGAAGGAATTGTGAGTGAATGGAGCACATGAGCCCAACACTTATTCCTCCTCCTCATCCTTGTAGTTTTCCCTCCTCCTTTAGAATCCAGAAGGCAAAAAACCCCTTATGAATAGGCCAACAAAAACATTATTCCATTTTGTTTAGAACATTTAGAAACTTAAAAACTGATAAATCACCAGGCCCAGATGGCATACATCCGAGAGTTCTGAAATAACTCAAATGTGAACTTGTGGATCTCCTGACAAAAATATGTAATCGTTCCTTAAAATCTGCCTCCATTCCTGAGGACTGGAAGGTAGCTAATGTCACTCCCATCTTTAAAAAGGGTTCCAGAGGAGATCCGGGAAATTACAGGCCAATCAGTCTGACGTCGATACTGGGTAAATTGGTGGAAACTGTTATTAAGGAAAGAATTAGTAGGCACATAGATGAACAAAAGCTTATTGAGGCAGACTCAGCATGGTTCTAGTGAGTGTAGGTGGGCAATTTTCTCAGTGGAGGGTGGTAAGCAGTGGGGTACCGCAGGGATCAGTACTTGGTCCACTGCTTTTTAACTTGTTCATTAATGATTTGGAGATGGGAGTAAGCAGTGAAGTGGCTAAATTTGCGGATGATACGAAGTTGTTCAGGGTGGTGAAAACCAGTGAGGATTGTGAGGCACTCCAAGGGGATCTGTCAAGGATGGGCGAGTGGGCGTCAACATGGCAAATGGGGTTCAATGTGGCCAAGTGCAAGGTGATGCACATTGGAGCCAAAAATCCTAAATATAAATACACATTGATGGGGTCTGAACTGGCAGAGACTGATCAAGAGAGAGATCTTGGAGTTGTAGTGGATAACTCACTGAAAATGTCGAGACAGTGTGTGACTGCAATAAAGAAGGCCAATGCTATGCTGGGGATTATTAGGAAGGGTATTGAAAACAGATCAGCCAATATAATAATGCCCCTATATAAATCAATGGTGAGACCTCATTTGGAATACTGTGTGCAGTTCTGGTCACCACACCTTAAAAAGGATATTATAGCTTTGGAAAAAGTGCAGAAAAGGGCAACTCGAATGATAAAAGGGTTGGAACACTTTCCCTATGAGGAAAGCTTAAAGCGCTTAGGCCTCTTTAGCTTGGAGAAACAATGGCTGAGGGGTGACATGATTGAGGTTTATAAGATTATGCATGGGAAAGAGCAGGTAAAGAAAGAGGTACTTTTCTCCCTTTCTCACAATACAAGAACTCGTGGGCACTCCATGAAATTGCTGAGTGGTCAGGTTAGAACGGATAAATGGAAGTACTTCTTCACCCAAAGAGTGATTAACACATGGAATTCACTGCCACAGGAAGTGGTGGCGGCGACAAGCATGGACGGCTTCAAAAGGGAATTAGATAAGCATATGGAGCAGAGGTCCATCAGTGGCTATTAGCCACAATGTATAGAAAGGGGCTCTGGGGCAAGTGATGCTCTGTCTTCTTGGTGCTTGAGGGGGTCAACAGTGGGAGGGCTTCTAATGTCCTGGCCCCACTGGTGAATCTCCTGATGGCACTGGTATTTCTGGCCACTGTGTGACACAGAGTGTTGGACTGGATGGGCCTTTGGCCTGATCCAACATTGGCGTCTCTTATGTTCTTATGTTCTTAACATTGAATTTAATGGGCTTATAAAGAGGGATTTCTGAAGGAAGGGTGTTCTGCACACAAAATAATGGGTCAGAATTGCATACACTATAAAGTTTTCTCATATCAATTGATGTTCAAACATATGTATTATAGAAATATTTAAACAAAACAAATTTTAGATGGCAGAAATTATGCCTCTCCGTGGTTCTGTAATGTTTAATACTGTTTTGCATGCTCAGGCAACATAAAACATAGAATTTTTTTTTCCAAAGCTGATTCTGAGTCAAGAGGATGTAACCACTATCTTAAGGACTCTGAATGAAAATTTAGGAGAGACTTCTAGCCCTACAGCTCCTGTACCAGAGCTCAAAGATGCTGGAAGCAGTCACAGTGAAGCAGTCAGTACGTCACAGTATTCTGGAGGTATGTTTGGCTACAAAATGACTTAAACAAGGTAGCTACAAACCAAGGACCAGCAAGACTCAAAGGATGGAACTGAAATGCTCTCTCTCATGCTAGCCCCTACTTTCTTTCTGTTTCCAGCTCTTACTCCATCCCCAGCTTAGTCTCTACCTTCTTTCCTATCCCCCATTCTTTTCTTCCCAAATTGGTTGCCATTTCCCTCCATAGCCTCTTCCACTGATGCTTCTTTCTCTTTATTGCCTCTTTCTCTCCCAGCAGTCTGGCCACCTAGATCAGTTAAGCAGCAGGGGAAAGGAAGGCAGGCTTACAGCAGAAATCCTGACCTGGAACTTTGTGCTCCACGTCCCTTGACATTGTCAACCTTCCGCTGGGATGTACAATTAGGACATTCCCCTTCATCCCCTGCCAAACAGGCTGACAGTGTTGGCAAGGGACTTGGAGAAATTCATTGGGGAGGTCACATCCTCTTCAGGTTCTGGCTTCTTCATGTTGTTTACACTTCTTCTTTTCCCCTCCCACTGCCTCTTCCATCCCTTTTTCTTTTCCTGCCACAACCAACTTAATTGTTCACTTGATCTCTTCTCCTCCCTGCTGCCTCTGCCATTGCGTTGCTCACCAGCAATACTGCCTGCCAACCTTTCTATACTGCTTGCTTGTGTCACTGTCTGCCCACCCACTGGCGCTGCCAATACATTTCCCTCTCTGCCTGCTCCTGCTTCTTCTGGCACTTATATATTGGGTTGCTAAACAACCCTTAAAACATAAGCCATGTTTCCTCTAGTAACTTTGGGTTTTCAGGATTTTTCAAAGGCCCCTCAACCCCTCCTCCCATTTTCTGACTTTTCTGCAGTCTTCCCCCCATATGATCAGAACTTTATTGTGTTGATTTTTTGATCCATACTCTGAGGTCAGAAATATACTGATAAACACTGCTATGTAAAGATGCATAGATAAAATTAATAAATATTTGATGTGCATGAGAATGCTCTGAGTGAGGGAAATAACTTAGATATAACCAAAATTTAATTGTAGCTTTTGTTCATGTGAAATTCACTATATGGTTTCTAAACATGATGCTGATGAAGATTCAGGACCCAGTAAACAATATCAACTAAAGTAGGTCATAGAGAATTACACCCATTTTGGTACATTTGGGTGATTTGCTGTTACATACACATCTAGTACAAAGCTGTGGTGGAAAAAGACACAGAATTGTTCTTTTTTCTTGGAACAACTCTTGGATTCCACTTTTTATATATTTTCTTAATACAAAGAAATTGTAGACCCATATTGCCCATATGTGCCTGCACCTTGCAGTCATACACACCCAGCAATGGGTGTGTAGTTTTTGATCCAAAGGGCATTTTAGAGACCATTACGATAGAAGATTGACAACCAAAGAACACCATCAATATTCTTTCATGGAATATAGCAGGCTGGTTTAGATGCCAGTCCTATTCCCCAGGCATTCCCTTCTTTTGTCAAATTATGATGTTCTAGTGCTCCAAGAAACCTGGACTTCAGGGGCCTTGGAATTAGATGGTTACCACACTTATGCGGTCAAGGCAGTCCCCGACGGGCCCAGGTAGGCTTAAAGGGGCTTTAGGTATCCTTATTTCCATCTCCCTATAAGTAGATTGCATGGAGTTGCATAGTCTTGAATTCCAACCAGAAATTAGTCTTTTCTCCCCAAGTCCTTCTGGTTCTCGGTATAGACTAGGCAAAATCACTCATTAAGCAGAGCGTGACTGACATTGAAAGACAACTGGATATTCTCAGTTCTGGCTATTTGTCTCCAGCAAATACCAGATATATAGTCACTCCTGCAGCCTATTTACATTCTCGTTAATCCAATAATTCTAGAAGGGCATCCACTTTAGCCAAAAGTATGTCCTTGCCATCTGCAGTATTGGAAGGGAGGTTTAAAGGGACCCCTTACTGAGTTTTTGCTCCTGCCTCCTCCATGAAATAGACTCTCTAGAACATATATTTTTCAACTGTGTATACCATAGGGTGATCTGTATGGAGACCATTAGCCCACTGTTAGAAAGGTTTCCTAATAGATCAAATAAAACTAAACTTGATTACCTTCTGTGTGACAAGAACCATCAGAGAACAGGACAGGTGGCTAGATTTTGTGCCCAGGTTTAATATTTTATCCGAATTATACATGAACAAGAAAGGGGACCAGCAATACTCGTGGGGGGGGGGAGAAGAGCTCCACACAGAGCAGGAGGAGGAGGAAGCAGCAGCAGCAGGTAAGCCTCCCCCCCCTCCAGACACCAGCGGCGCGGCCTGAGTGGCTGCCAGCCACCGAGCCCGCCAATTCCCCCTCCCCGTCCCAGGTCTTCTCCATCCCCCCTCCACCACCACCCCCGGCTCCTATGGCGAGGCCCGAGTGGCTGCCAGCTGCCGGGCCTCGCCGATCTCCTCCCCTCTCCCCCGGTCTCCTTCACCCCCCTCCCCCAGGCTCCAGCGGCAAGGCCTGAGTGGCCTCACCAATCTCCTTCCCCCTCTGGCTAAAGCAGCTGAACTCTTCTTCCCCCCCTGGCTCGGGCCCCACCGATCTCCTCTCCCCCCCGCTCAGGGGTGGTGGGAGGAAGAAGAGCTCCACACAGAGCAGGAGGAGGAGGACCTCCCAGTCTCCCCCCCCCCAGCTTGGGCCCCGCTGATCTTCTTCCCCCACCCCAGCTCCGGCGGAGAGGCCTGAGCGCCTTCCAGCCGCTGACCCGCCAGTTCCCAGAGCGTTCTCTGTGCATGTGCAGGGAACACTCTTTTAATTTTTACTTTTTAGGTAATTTAAATATTTTTCCAACTTTTCATATTTTTCTGTACACCTGGGCATTGCCCCAAGTGTGCAGGAAAATCTCCCTGCCCCACAGGTGCCCCCAATGTGCAGATTTAGTATATAGATTTTATGGCTGTCTTATTTTATCTCTATGTTATAGTCACAGATTTTTAAATTGAAGTATGCCAGTGTTGGTTTTATCCCATATGTTTTTATGTAAAATGATTAAGTGTGCTGGTCATTGACTGTAACAATAAATTTGATTGATTTGCTCAGTGATAAGTTGGTCAGACTTAATCTCAAGACTGCCTTACTTATATTTGTCTTTAGGGAAAAGGTCTCTGAAGGCTGCAGTGCATTAGAAAACATGTCATTTTGTCTTTTCTTGCTGGTATTTGCAACTCATGTTAACGGCCTTAATTTTTTTTTTAAGGTGGAATGAAAGTGGTAACATCTGCTGTGGTGGAAACACGCTCCTCTGTTAAAGTTAAAACAACGCTAAAATTGGACTTCCAGTTTGATTCCCTCACTCTAGTTTTGTACAGTCCAAACTCCAAGCAGGTGAGCAAATAAATCCTTTCCAGGAACTCTGTACCTCTCTGTATCTCAATGAGCTTAGAACTACACATAGGATAGCTCTGCATTTGTTAGCAGGCAGAGAGCTCAATTTTTGTTCTAATAATATTCATCTGGCTAGCCAATTGAACAAATTAGATTTAGGGAGACTGAGGAGATATGCTTGATGTGTCAGGAACGGTTTTGTTATTTTTGGCATTTTTTAGTATTTAGTATTTTTTTTAATAAGGCTAAATTTTGTGGCATTTTTATGACACTTTGTAGGGCATGTGTTTACATAGTGACATAAGAGAAAAAAAGACAGCTTTATATATGAATTAGTTCTTATTAGACATGATGGTTTGTTCATTCCAAGAATGGCCATAAGAAGTCCTCTGGTTTACATACTCAATTTTCTTCTCATGTGTGAATCAGATTTTTGAAGACTTTGTTTCTTGAGAAACTGCAGGTTGTTTTGAGACATCACACCAAACCATGATCTTCTATATCTAAGTCACCAGAGGGAGCGGTTGAGCCAGAGGACATCTGAGGGTAGTTTGCCTGCACTTGAGCCACAGACTCTTGTTGCTGTTGTCACTGTTTTTCTCAGTACGTTTTTACTGCTCCATGAAACACTTCAGTACAGCCAGCTGAATTCTTTCAAAAGGGTAACAACAAAATAGAACAGTCAGAAAGCATTTAGAAACAATAAAGCCACATACTGTGACAGTTTGGCTTTAGAAAAAGTGATAAGTGGATGGAATTTTCTGAGTCATGTTTGTTATCTTGATTTTTACCTTGCTGAATTACAGACTAGTCTCTGCCTGATGCTGGAGGGTCACACAGTTTGCTTTGTTATCTGTATGCCATAAATTAACTTTCAGTTCTCTGTTATGTATGTTTTTCTATTGAGTTTGTCGAATCTGGTCACAGCAATAGCAACTATACATTTGCAGAAGCATTATACTTAATTCAGATTTTTCATTTTCTTTTCAAAATAGAGTTCAGTTCTGGATCAGCGAGATAATGCTATGAAACTTGCCGAATTCAAATTGGTGTTAATATCAGCTGCTGTCAGAATGTTGTCAGATGAGTCAATGAATGCTTCTGTCAAGTTAACAAACTGCACTTTAGATGATAAACGACAGACAGTTCAGAAGGCTACACCAAGGTAGTTATTTCTTTGAAAGAAAAGAGATTGAATTATTGACAACAACACCAACTTTGTTGGCAGATATTGAATACAATTCAAGGTAGCCACTTAAGCTATAAACATATTCAGAACTTTCTTTGCACTTCTCACAACTGCAAATCCCATAGTGAGTGAGCCAAGCTGCTGTTCAAAACAATGTCTTATTGGCCAGATCACTGAAAACTAACAAACAAATCATGAGACTGCGCACTTGATTGCATTGAAACTTATGCATGCACACAGTGTATCTCACTGAAATGAGCTCAATTTAGAATGTTGCTGTTGTTTGCACAAACATGTTTAGATTACAGACTCCAATGTCACATATTTTTACAATTTATATTGAGTTTTAAATGCTTATTTATAAAATAATGGAAAATAAGCATGTGAAGGAGCAATACTTATGTAAATTAACTCATGGAAATGTCTTTTTTGTCTTCAGTGTTTCAGCAAATTGGTAAAAAGTAGTTTAAAGTGTGCTCATGATTGTTCTTGCATGAGATCTTAGTTTAAGAAAGAATGGGCAGCCATATTTGGGATCCCAGCAGTCTATAATTGTTGAATATGTATTTCCATTTCTCACCCTTTTCAATCCCCTCTATTTGTCTTTTATTCTCTGTTTTCCCTTTCTTTTCTTGGTTGTTTTCCAGAAACGTTCAGATCCTACACAAAGATTTAGTGATTTAGTAACTGAGAGCCAGTTTGGTGTAGTGGTTAGGAGTGTGGACTCTAATCTGAGAGAACCGGGTTTGATTCCCCACTCTTCCACATGCAACTGCTGGTGTGACCTTAGGTCAGTCACAAGTTTTTTCAGAGCTGTTCTCTCAAGAGCAGTCCTTGAAAGAGCTCTCTCAGCCTCACCTACCTCACAGGTTGTTTGTTGTGTGGAGGGGAAGGAAAAGGAGATTGTAAGCTGCTCTGAGACTCTTTCAGGTAGTGAAGGGCAGGGTATCAATCCAATCTCTTCTTCTCTTCTTCTAATAAAGAATGAACCTGTGGATGGTTGTCAGTAAGCAATATAGCAATAACATTTTGAGACAAAACATGTATACAGACACACAGTAAATGCTTTGTTAATTGGCATCTGCAGGGAATTGGAGTTGGCAGTTAACCTAACAATCCAGTTTACAAACTTTTTATAGTGCAGCAGCTTAGTGGGCAGTAGCCATGGCTGCTCCTCAGCCACTTGTTCTCACATGACAGCGGGCAATGGAGGAGAAGGCAGAGTGTCTTCTGGCCATGGGTGTTACTCGCGCAGTACCAGTATGAGTGGGTGGCACCCACGGCCAGAAAGTGCTTTCTGCTACCATTTGTAGCATGGTATATATAGAATTGTTCTTGTATAAATTAAATACCTGTTGACTTGCTAACAAAGTGACATAAATATAAAAGCAAGTTTAAAAAATTTAAAGGAAGTTTAAGGCTAGATTGTCCATAATCTTTAAACCTGCTTTAAACCTGGGACCGAAATATCTGAAGGACTGCCTCTCCCATACGTCCATCGTAGAGCCTTGTGCTCGTTGGATCAACACCTACTGGTTATCCCCCACCCAAAGGATATCCACCGAGCCTCAACCAGGGCCAGGGCTTTTTCTGCCCTGGCCCCGGCCTCATGGAATCAGCTCCCACTGGAGATCAGGGCCTTGCAGAACCTTTTACCATTCTGCAGGGCCTGCAAAATGGAGTTGTTCTGCCAGGCCTTCGGGTGAAGCATCAGGCGTCCATCTTAGTTGGCCTCCCTGCTTTAGCTCCCAGTCTACTGAAAGTTCTGACTTCATTTATATAGCCCTAACAGTCTTTCTTTTATACAAATTGCTGCTACCTCTGCATTTTACTGTTTTAATGATTTTAATGTAATGTAATTTTATTGTAATCAGGGGTCGTTTCATAGAAAAAGAGCTAGGGGAACTCATTAGCATAACTTATTAGCATATGCCACACCCCCTGACAGCACTGGAAGTGTGTCATAAGGCCACACCCCCTGACATCACCGGAAGTGTGTCATAAGGCCACACACCCCGCCCCCAACAGTCCCGGCCGCCGGCGCCGGCCTTGCAGTTCCACTGCGCTGAATGAGGGCCGGAAGTGGGGCAGCCGGAAGCAGGGGGCGGGGCTTCATCATTTGCCCCTCCCCCCGTACCTCACCCGAGGGAACTGCAATCCCCCACGATCCCCCCCGAAATGACCTCTGATTGTAATAAGTCTTTGATTCTGTAAGTTGTGATCCACCCTGAGCCCATTTGGGGAGGGTGGAATAAAAATTCGAAAATGTTTTTAAAAAATCTGGGAGGGGCTGGAAACTACACTGGTTTCAAGACATTGTTTGAAGGGTTTGTAATCTATTTGCTTTGGTTGATAGAGCAAACATGTTGATGATAGACATTTATGAATTTCCCTTGAAGAAGCTTGGTAGTCCAAATAATGTTTTTGAAACTATTGTTGTTGTTCAGTCGCACAGTCGAGTCCGACTCTTCGCGACCCCATGGACCATCTCCTGCCAGGCCCTCCTGTCTTCCGCCGTCCTCTGAAGTTTGAAACTATAGATATTATTAATGAGCCCTTGATGTCCATCATAAATCATTAACTAATTCATGGTACCTTCCCATGGCTACTCAAAGAAATGGTTATCTGTCCAGCTGTCAGCATGGTGTAGTGATTAAGAGTGGCAGACTCTAATCTGGAGAACTGGGTTTTTCCCCATTCCTCCACATGAAGCCTGCTGGGTGACCTTGGGCCAGTCACAGTTCTCTCAGAACCCTCTCAGCCCCACCTACTTCACAAGGTGCCTGTTGTTGTTGGGAGTGGAAGGGAAGGAGATTGTAAGCCACTTTGAGACTCCTTAGTGTAGAGAAAAGTGGGGTATAAAAACCAACCTTCTTCTCCTTCCTACTACTACTACTACTAAAAAAAAAATCCCTACAAGAAAAATGATGTGTCAAGAGCAAGGGGCAGCAGCCCCCCCAAATCCTTATAAGTTACGGAAGAGAAGGAGAAGTAAAGGCTGAAGGACTCTGAATTGTGCCTTTGAGAATTGTGCCTTCAGATGAAGAACATCAACTAAAGACACCAGGGCTTTCTCTATCCCACATGTACCTTGAACTTCTTTAAATCATTCCTTACAGATTGGAATCACAGGTTGCTGTTGGAGACCATTTTTCTTCTGTGTGAGAGTTGTCACGTGGGGTTCCCAAGGGCATAGTCTTATCCCCCATATTAATTCAACCTCTATGTAAAACCTTTAGGAGAAATCATTTGTAGCATTGGAACTGGATGTCATCAATATGCTGATAATGCTTAAATCTTCTTCGTGGTCTCTGTGCATCACACCTCTGGGATATAGTGCGCCTGTGCCGACCCTGATCAGTACTCGTCAAAAGCGAAAGGGATTTTCGCACCAATTCCCCTGTCACATGCCGGATTCCACTGCGCATGACTAGGGGAGGGGCACAACAATCCTGCCAGTTCTCTTCTGACCGCAGCACTGGTAGGATCTTTTCTGCTCCGGTCGGTATTTTCCTTGGCTTTCGGCCTGTTTTTCATTGTTTTTCTCATTGAAACTTGTAGTGAAAGGACTTATATATTTTTCTTCTTGTTGGATTGTTACGGGGGGTTCTTTTTGCCCTGAAAACCCATTTACCCACCTTCCTTCGACCTATGGCCAAGAGTTGGGGCTTCTTCAAATGGTGCCACCAGTGTGGCAGTAAGATCGCCCCTCCAGACGGACACTCTCTTTGCCTGTTGTGCCTTGGGGAAGCGCACCGAGTTGACTCTTGCACGCTCTGCGCGATGTTTTCCAACCAAATCCGGAAGAACAGGGCGGTGAGACTTCGTGTTGCGCTTATGGAGCTCGCTCTTTCCCCTGTGGCGTCTTCTCAGGACACAATGGGTCATGCCTCGAAGTCGACTCCCGCCTCGGGATCGACTGCTGTGCTCGCAGTGCTAATGCACTCCGATACCGACAGGCCGGCGCCGAAACATTTGGTCCCGATGCCTCGGTCCGATGCCCAGACTCCCTCCAAAAAATGCAGGGAGGGCAAGGACAAACAGCCCGTCAAGCCTAAGAAGCCTAAGAAACACCCCCCAGTGCAAGCGCCGCTGACCCCATGGAGGGTCTCGGACGCCATCGTTGCTGGGGCAGCTTCACTTGACTCCTCTGGCTGTGAGCAGCACAAAGGTGTCCTGTAGTCGCCTTTGCTACATCCTATCCAGCTCACTTACTCTGAGCATGATATGGATTTGACTCAACTTTCCCGGTCTTCCAGTGGCGAGAGCCTTCACTCAGATCGTGGAACTGGCACTTTTGTGCATCCTCCACACCGATTGGCTGATCAAGATCGACCATCGGTACTGATGCACGTACCCGTGCCTCCATGGGATCACAGGCAATGGCAGTACCTGTATGGAGCGTATCCATTTGCAGGCGCCATGCCTTGGCTTCCTCCATATGTGGCAGAGGGGGATCGTCAACTGACCTCTTCCCAACTCTCTCGGCACAGAGACCACCCTCTGGCACCCGAGTTTCCAAAACCTCAGTCATTGAGGTTGACGGGCAAACTTGGCCCAACCGTCAGTACCGAAGCTCCCGAATCCACCAGAACCGACACCATCGACACCAATAGTGCCAATGCTTTTCTCGGAGCTGTCAGAGCATTCCTTCTCCTCCAATGCCTCTGCTCCTTCGGGGGATGAAAATCCCGACCCCCCGCTGGAACCTTTGCCATCCCCGCAGGTCGCAGATGACCTCCCGATTTCTCCATCAGAGGATCTAAAATCTTACGGGGACTTTATTAAATGAATGGCCAACAAGCTGACCCTCTCCACCGTACAACTTCCTCCTGTGGTCACAGACTCTGTGTTTGACATTGTGCAGAGGAACACTTCCACTGTGGTTGCACTACCCATGACATCGGTCCTGCTGCAGGCGGCTAAGACTCCCTGGGCTCACCCAGCCTCCACGCCCATTTCCATTAGGAGAATTG